AATTTATATGGTAGATCTAAAGTTTCATTAAAATTGCTTATGCCCTGTCCCAGGCATTTTAAGTGGGCCATCTGTCTAAACATCTCTCCATTTTTTTTCTGATCATTTCCTCGACTTATTCATGAGCCATGGGAGGGCTCCTTTGTAGTCTCCATGTAGCTGGTTCAGTCTACCCCCACTGAATACATCTATGTGCTTGCATAACATATCTTTTCACAGTGCTGGAAATTCTCTGAACTTGGTTCAGATGAATGGCCCACTTTCTGAAGGTCTTTTTTTCTCCCCCTGCAAAGATTTGTATGCAGAAACTGACCTTGGTGGCTACAGAATCCAGCACATTATTCTTGATCATTTTACAGGCCACCTGCTGTGAAAGTTATGATGAAGGATTTCTTAATGATTCTTTGACCATTAACATTGTTTTAAGTCAATATTTCACTTTTATTTAACTGCTGAATAGGTAATTGCACAATTGAAAAACAGCTTTACGGAGTGTCATATAATGTGGTTTTCAAATGCGTATAATCTTTCATAACGGGAGAATTTGTTATGATAGTTTGGGATTTCTCTGTGTTTACGTAAAGTATTATGCAGCAAAAAATATCAGAAGTAAAGAGAATTTGTACGTTTTTTCCCCCCAGCGTTAGAACTCACATTTTGAATTGGAAGTAAAAAAAAATCTATACTCCATTTCCTGACCCTTTAGGAGCTGGTGACATTTATCATAGCTCATTACATCATCAACAGTAATCAGGAGAGGGGAGTTTATTTGCCACAAACTGCAGAAAATTGTTGTTTTATTGAGCTCCTGCTATCTGATTGGTTGATGACAATCAGAATGGACGGGCCGGGGCAGAGTGATTACTTGACTTGCTTTTGTGAATGTCTGTTTTCTTTCGTTACTTGTTTTTGACTAGAATAGATAATGGTTTAACTAGTGTCAGTTTTCCATGAGCACAGTAAGTGTGTGTCGATCTAAAATTTTTAGCAGTTGTCTGCTTTGCTCACTGAAAACTTGCAAAGAAAGCAGGAGCTATAATTGCTGTATTGTTATAAAGTCTCTCTCTCTCTCTCATGGCAGCTGCGGGCAAAAGGGATATAATACGCTGTGCAATGTATGAAATAAATTTAGGGACCATGACATCATCTGTAGTCGAACAAACAGCAACAGACGTTGAAAATAAATAAATAACGAAGCAGGCAAACACTGCTGTTTTCCTTCTCGCACCTTTTACATGTTTTTATAACTTTAGAACTTTTTATAACATTTTTATTGCTTTAGAGCAATGCTTTTATGACGTAGAGCCAGGCCATCACCATACTCTTCGTCTGTGCCCCTGTTGCTCGCGATACTTCCCTTTAGAAGGCAATATCATAGAATCATAGAATGCTTTGGGTTGGAAGGGACCTTGAGAGATCATCGAGCCCAACCCCCCTGCAGTGAGCAGGGATTGAACCTGTGAACTTGGCGTTATTAGCACCGTGCTCTAACCAACTGAGATAACCCGGCTGGTCAATATGGAGTAGAGAGGTTCAGAGCTGCCCATTTCTGTACGGAGGGAGTTCATGACACCCTTCTGCACCGGCCTCCCATCGTTGCGGCCGCAGTGCTGCCTTTGCTCTCTCCTTCTCTTTGTGTGTAATGCTCCTGGCAAGGGACAGCAGTGCACAGCTCCCTGTGGCCCTGCTTCCCCTTCACCTGGCACCCATCTTGCTGCCAAACTTATTGTTTCTTCCTGCAGCCGGTGATCTTTATATGTAAAGAAAGTAATTTTTTTGATGATACGTCATTTACCAAAACTGGGAGAAGAAAGGGAAGGCCTGTTGAACCCTATGAAAGACATATCATGTGGACTCTGAATCTAGGGTTGGAGGGAAAGCACCTTAAGTTTTTTTTGTCTTTTATGATGGTAAAAATGATATTATTTTTTCTTCCAGTATTTTTTCTGTAAATAGAATATGTCAGTTTTCAGCCCAGTATGTAGAATTCTAGAAGTTATCCATTTTTGAAATTAGCCTGAAGTTTGCGGAGTTTTCCATGAACTAGTGAAAAATACATTCAGAAGTCCAGATGTTTTCTCTTTGGAGAACTTAAGAGTTCTCAACTAAGGAAGCAACCTTGCCCAAGAACAAAAAGCTTATTTCCCGTTCACTGGGACTTCTCAGACATTTGGAAAAAAAAAAAAAACAACCCAACCCACAAAACAAAACAACAAAAAAACCCCACCAAAAAGCCCCTTTCTTAGCCGGATAGAAACTTCTGCATTTCTGAAGTAGTTCACAGACTTGAGCAACTTCCTTTCTATATCCAAGAAACTTGGACTTTGATCCTTACTTTTGGACTTTGTGATCCTTGCTAATGTTAAAAAAAACCCAAAACAAAACAAAACAAACCAACCCCTGTGAATCCATCAAAATGGAGTCTAGTACTACAAGGTAATTTGTTTGAAAGGAATTTTATTTAATGAAGAAATAGTAGGATTCTCATGAGCTAATGTAAGTATCTGTCTTGGCCAGCGTAACTGTAGGTTACAGTTACAAAGCCACGGGTGTTTGATTAGCAAAGCTGAAAAATGTCCCTGTGCAAATGGATCTAGCAATTCCAGGAGGGAAGTGCAACTTGCCGCGTACTTGGTATTAGATGCAGCTCTGGACCTTGCCCTCCTGACCACCGGTGTTGCAGGGAGTGGAATTATATGCCTGTGAGGCTGTTTGAAACCCAGGCAAAGCAGTGATCATAGTCATGCCTTTCAAGAGGCATGCATCCTGTTTGGAGATACACTTGACAAAGCTCAGCAAGACAGGACCGAACAAAAATAATCCCTGCTGGAGAACAAGACTGTCTTTCCTTTGATGGCCAGCAGCCAGATTCATGAGGTCACTTCCAGTCAAATGCAACATGAAGCAGGGCTGTGCTAGGAAGGTTATAAGGAATCTCATGCCACCAGTGAAGCGGATCTACTAGGCTGTGTTTGAGATGAGGTCTTACCTCTTACGCAAGAAATATGAAGTTGCTATAAACCAGTAAATCCTGTTGGTTATTGCAGTGGAGTACCATGGAGAATTTAGCCAGGCTCTGCCAAAGCCCTGCTACATTCCTCCTTACTGGTGCTGTGATACCAGGAAGTGCAATGAAAACATCTCTCAGCTTGCTGCCTGCTACCTGTGCAGGAAATTCCTGTTCCTCTTCTTCAGGAACTCCCGTGTCTGTCACGTTTCCTATCAGCCAGTCTAAATGTTTTGGTGACATACAGGAATTTCAAGACGAGGTGCTAAGAAATGTCATTGTACCCAATAAGCCACAGATATATCCCCAGACTTGTTGTTTTGACAATTGTCGCTGTGTATTAAATGCGAAAGGTAACACTTGGCATCATTAGTATGGGAACAGGTTATTTTCAATATCTGTTCTCATGAACTTTGTGGGCAGTGATAGTTAGAGGTGAGCTAAGATGTTTGGTGAAATCTGGTGTAGGCCTTCCCTGGCTTGGATCCAGAAGTAACTAATGATAAGTATGCATCTATTTGTCTAACTAATATATTTAATGTTTCCATTTCCCCTTTTGAGGCACGTTGCGAGGCACAATTTTTGGAAACTCCTTGCCTAATTAGGTACCTGAACTTGTACTTGCTTAGATTTCAGGTGTCTAAAAACCCAATCTTCTTAAAATAATTGTCAAAATCCTTAGCAAGTCAGTGTGTTATCCTTGGCTTAGGCACATAATTTCTCCTCCTGTGGCCTCTGGAGGCCTCATGGGTGCTTCCAGCGTTGATTCCACAGGGAACCTGAGCACTCCCTTTGGGGAGATGTGGTTCACTGGGCACCTGAATCCTCAAGAGGATGCATGTGGCATAACACGGAAAGACGTGTTTCCAAGTTTTAAGACTCCGAAGGCTGCAGTAAAATGGTGTAGTAAGGTCTATAGTGTACAATAGATGAACATTATAGCAGAAATTATCCTTAAGAAGAGACCTAAAGGTGATGAACTTATTATCTCTACAGATCTCTTACAGAGAATCTAAACGAGTGTAAGAGTCAGTACGGAAGGAAAGCTATACCAAAGTAATGTGTCTGTTTTAATGGAGTTTAAACTCCACCTTCGTACCTTCTCTTTAGGCTACATGGTGCTTGCTGATGCTAATATATGGCAACCACTCATCAGAAAAGTTGTAGCGAACCTTTGGACACCAGTTGTTACAACAAAGTGGAAGAGACTTGAGAAGTTAGGATGAGGAAACTGAAGTCAAATATACATTTAAATAAAATAGCTGAAAATTGCTTGTTTCACTCTGAACTTCCAAGAATGGAGACTCAGATCTCATTCCTTTGCTGTCAGGTGTGCTTCTTTAAGCTAAACTTGAAAAGGTTCAGGTTTCGTGTATTACCTGATAACTGGTGCAGCCATAGGATGCTGCAGGAATAAGTATAATCCTGCATGTGGGCTGTGATGATATATCATTATTTTTTCAGTTTGCTTGAAGGGCTCTGTGGATGAGATACTCTAAAATGTATAGTAATTATAACATTACTTGTATTACTTGTTTGGCTGAATCTTTTGTCTGTAATTGGCCTTCAATTAAGGTTTACTGAGAATGAGATGAAAGAAATGGTGATTGTATTTTGCCCTTAAAAAGAACGCTCCAGCTATCACTGTTGCTATTCTCCTGCCAACCCACTTTCTCATCTGCTTTTCATCCTGTTTGAGCTAATTCTGCAGCAAGAGCTGGCTGTATTCAAGAGCCTCCTCTAACTTTATCAGTGTACCCAGCGTGTCAAGGCAAATCTAGAAATAAAGTAGATTGTATTTTCTCCTTATATGCTGTTTGACAAAAAAATGTATTTAGTATTTTTTTTTTCAAGTATGCTCTCCAACTGTGTCTATAAATTAATGATATTTTATATCCTCCATGACCATCCTATGAGGCAAGCGCTTCTGGTTAAAGTGGGAGAAGCATGAAATCTCTGTTAAAAATTCTTCTTCTGTCTGTTTCTTTTTCAGAATTCCTATTGCTAAATCAAAGAGAAGGAGCTGGGAGCTCTCTGTGCGTCTAGGAGATGGAATTTACCCAGTTGCAGTTTCAAAGGATGGCTCATCATTTTCTGTAAGTTCTGCTCATTTTCTAAGAAATTCAATGTACTGAGTCAATGTATATTATCCTTGACACCTACTAAAATTCTTTATGTGTTCAGTGACCAAACATAGATGTTTGTTTTGTCTTTAGTAGGCATTGCTGTGAATTACAAAACAATACTCTCAATGTTAATTAAATAGTGCTAGATTTTTCTCTGCTCATTCCTGTGGAACATTTTTATATCTACTTGTTTATTTAATCAGTTTTCTGATTAACAGCCCTGTTTAGTGTCTTGTTTAGAATTAAGGTCTTATGCTCCATTGTAGATATATGAGAGCAAGAAAATAAGTACAATGTCAACAAAATTTACATTAGCTTAAGTTGGTGATTAAAAACACAAATCAAAGAACCAAGCAAGCTGAATGTGTGATCATACTGGAATGGAATTATTCAGCACCTCAGTGGTAAAACTGTATGTGGTCATAGTCAAATGCCAATGTTTCAAGGTGTGCCTAGGTCACTTCAGATGAATGTGTATAAACTATCATTTTTACAAATATTCTAAGATAATGACTTAAGCACTTAATGTTGTCAGCATGAAAGGCAGAAAGACCATGACAGCAGAACGGTAATGCTGTGTTCAGTAAGCAAGTTGATTGAATTGGAGTGTTGAGAAGGTAGATTTATAGAGAGAACTATTTTTTCAGTCTGTTAATGGTAATTCCACAACCAAACTGAGATTTTTTTTTTTTTTTAAATAGACAGTTGACTTGTTGACTCTTAGGCAAAAGTTTTCAAAAGGGTCTAAAGTAGTCAGTTTTTCTTAGAATCATTGAAAAGCAGGACTATGAGGAATCCAGAAGTCCTCTAGTTTACCTCTGACAGCAGTTTACTCTTCTTGTGTGTCTTCATTGAAGGGACTTCTGCAACATCTGCTCCATGACATTTTTTATAGTCATGATGTTCACACCTATGTTGCATTTAGAATCATGAGATTTCTTTGAAAAAGGACATTTAAATTAATATTTCAAATAATGAAGACAGTATTGTCTCAGTGATTCACTTTTGCTTTGCTCTACTGAAATTTCAGTGTAAAAGGCATGATTTTCAGTTGAAACTGGTCTCCTTTTTAGGTGGTTATTTTCACTTATGTGAAATGAGGCAATGAAAACCTAGCTTTTTTTTTAATCTTTTTGTTGGACTAACTGGGGCAAGAAGATGCGTAACCAATATCCTTTTTAATACTGTCTTTACCTCCGTCACACTGTATTTTACATTTACTTATGATGAATGTGAGAGTATGACTAGAGAGCAGGGATACTTTCTGTTCTGTGTGGATCATAGATGCACCATAAAAAGGATATGGAGAAGATCAGTTGTGGTCAGCGCCTTTAAAAATTTTCTCTTGCAAGTGTACTACTTTAAGCATGAAAGAAGGTGGTCATTTTAGTGGCAGTGTTTCTTTTAGAAAGAATTCCAGGAGGTCTTGAACAACTGTTTACTCAGTACCTAATACGTAGTGTTGCTCCATGGCAGTGATGCTCGCCCTGCTTGTGGAATGGTGCTTCAGGAGTGAACACCATGTCTGCATACAAGCTTTTTACCAAATTAAATTTATATAATGGCCCTAACAGCCATCTTGTGAACTTGGATACAACCCATTGCTCAAACAACAAAACATGCTTAAGCTGCGCCAGGGGAGGGTTAGGTTGGAAATTAGGAAAAATTTCTTTACGGAAAGGGTGGTCAAGATTTGGAAGAAGCTGCCCAGAGAGGTGGTGGAGTCACCATCCCTGGAAGCGTTCAAAAAACGGGTAGATGTGGCACTTTGGGACATGGTTTAGTCTAGTCTATCCTTGATTGGTTTAGAGTAGACTTGGTAGTGTAGGTTAATGGTTGGACTGGATGATCTTAAAGGTCTTTTCCAACCTAAATGATTCTATGATTCTATGTCTGCTGGATTTCAGCCCAGTTCAGAGTTGGACTGGCACTGGTTTCTGTGACAGAGATGGCCCTTCCCAGGAGCAGTCATTGCTCCCAGTCTTTCTACCTTTTTGTTGCAACGTTGCTATCTAACAGCGGTCAGCCTGGAGCTGCTGCTGCTGTGAGGAAGGCACGGTGGCTGCTGGTTGCTGTGGGTGTTGCATAGGCCCTTTCTGCTGGGAGCTCAGAAATCTAATTCCCATAGCTGGACCTCCCCAAACTAGAAGTCTTGTTTAGCACAACTAATTACACAGGCGTGCATCTGTGTACATGTGTGCACATGTATTTTTTGAGAGATTTGCTTCAGTTTCATTTAGTTACCAAGGCTCTCGCTTATACATGCTTACATAATTCAATAAAGATACATCTTTAAAACAGACTGAGGAAAGTTTACAGACAGAGGAGGCCTAAGCATCCTTTTATGCTTTTGTGTCTGTCGATGGTGAAGGTAGCTGAACATACAAGCTCGTGTATGAGCCAGTCCTAGATTCCACTTGCAGCTGAGCAGCCGAGTTGTAAACTGCGCCGTGTTTCTCCAGGAGGTACGAACTCTGAGAAAGGACGCTGAACGTGTAATGCTATTGCTGCTGGTTTATCATTTTAACATACAGAAAATCATTCCAACCTATACCACAATCCAAACCTGTGTCTCAGTTTAAATGGGACTGCTAAACAGTTCTGATGTCTTGCAGCACTATGAGCATTACAGCTAGTGTAAGCCCAGCTTAACAAGGCATAGGTGGAGTCTGATTTCTAGTCCTTTGGTTTGTTATTCAACCAAAAATAACAAATGCTGAACTTCCTGCTCGTGTCCTTGCGTCCCTGCGGTATATGCTACTGCTCTTCCCTTCCACTGCTAGGTAAGGAGGCAGGAGCTCCCCTGGGGAGCTGAGCACCCCCCAGTGTCACGGGTGAAGGGATGCATAAGTGATGGGGAGGAAGTAGGGGTGCCAGGTAGGACAGGCTGCGTGCCCTAAAGGTTGGGCCAGAGAGGGACTGATGACAGAAACTTTTGCATTCTGATTGTACCCTAACCAAGCCTGTATACTTGGGGAGAGATAGTTCCTTATTTATTTGTATCTGGAAAATTCCGTAGCTGGTGAAATAAATCACAGTAGGTGTATTTCACTGTGACCAGAGCTCTACCTCCCTTAAACCTTAAGGTACAGTGTATTAAAATTAACTCCTGAGCTGCAGTTTGTAAAAAAGCAGGTAGCTGTTTTTGAATACCAGGTTGTTATACATATATACATATATATATATCTTTATATAAAAATAAGGTACACTTATTTTTCAGTGTTGCTGGATAAATAGCAGAGAACATGTTATTCTTTATTAATAATTTTCTTTTTGCTGGGATTCTCCCGTGATTGTGCTGCAGACAAGAGAATATAGTAAATGTAGCACAGTCAAAAATCTTATGAATTATTATTCAAAACTTTAGAATGGAAAAACAATTGCCTTAAAACTTCAAAGAAGAAAAGTCAAAGACTAGGGATGAGAAATCTTGTTTCTGATCAGGAGGTATAACATACCATCATAAAAAAAAAAAGCGGGGGGGGGGAATTCAAAGTTTGCTTTATTAAATTTGCTGTCAGAAACATAAGCCTCACTTTTTGAACTTCTGCATTTACTTTTTTGCTATTAAATTGGTGTGACACGGGCTCCTGACTTTGTGGGTTGTGTCCCCTTGGGCTTGTGACAAAGGTAGCTGAATGTGCGGTGCAGTTAGATAGCCCGGTGGGGGGGCCACCTTCACATTCCCCTCCAGAAGTTTGCTCCTGCTGCAAACTGTGCATTGCAGCAGCAGTGTTCGCATCCTGATTTACTTTGTTTACCACTGGGACTCTTCCAACAGTGACTCCTTTCTTTTTTCCTTAACTCTTCTACTCTCACCAGCCGGCACCTCAGCACCTCGCAGTGTGCAGTGCTTTGCTCTCTGTGCAGGGAGTGCGAGCAGCAGGCTCCTCCGTGCTTCCCGCTGTTTGCCAGCAGATCATTCGTCAGCGTCTCGGGCTGTGGGTCATCTGTGGTTTTCTTCCTTTATCATGAGAATCTTAATGAACTGTGCAGTGTTAACTGCTCTGTGCTGCTCTTTATTTTTCAGGATTTTGAGTTTTGTAGCCATCTGTTTTTAACCACTTTATTTGTAACAGAGGTCCTTGATGGGAGCTGGCTTTAGGCCACTTTAGAGGCCTTGCTTCCCCAAACTGAAGGACTTAAAAGATAAGTGGTCGAGTGTGAGCAATACTGTTTGCCTGAAGCGGTGCAAACAAAAATACTAGTTTTCTTGTTTCCAATTGAGGTTAAAAACTTTTGTCAATCCTAATTTGATATTTTTTTCTTTTAAAATAGAAGCAGCTCTGTTGTTATTCTGAAGCCAGCAACATATACACTAATACTTAAGATTGTATAAAATCAGTGTACTAGAATTTTCAGTAACAGACAGTGGTTTCTGGTGATACCCTATCAACGTAACAAATGCTTTTGCAATTAAAAGATTCTAATGATCTGACTTGAGAATTAAAATTTAGCAAGTCTGCTGAGATCTGCTTGCCTGCGTACCAAGAACTCGACAACTGAATTCATGTAGATGTCACTTATTCTTTGTTCTTTGTGCTATATATTAATTGCTAGAAGCTAACTGCTTGTCATATATATCAGTTTAGTTCTTTGGAGGACAGATGGTCAGATTCTGGGCTTTGATTAGTATTCTTCTTATGCTTAAAATTTTTCGTCTCATCAATGGAGTCAGCGGTCTTACAACCAAGATTACTGCTAAAATAGAATTTGAAGGAAGAATACCCTCCTCTAAATGAGACTCATGTGAAACAGCAACAAACAGCCCAGATGCATCCTGCCACCAAACTCTGGAATCTTTCATTTAGTTCAATTTCAGACAGCGATCTTCTTCACCTTGCTATTTTTGGTTGCCAGTCTGGCTATGAAATGTGTTTATTTTATGATTTCATTGATATGAAGACTTGATCCAGTCTTGCTGATGAAGGTTGGAGTCTGTTCTTTCTTTACAAAACTTGAGTGTTCTG